GATTCCCCTGGAACTGAAGTTAAGGATGGTTCATAGCTGCCATGTGGTTGCTGGGAATCAAACCCCGGACTGGGAATTGAACCCAGGTCCTCTGCAAGAGCAGTCAGTGCTCTTAACAGCTAAGCCATGTCTCCAGCCCCTCCAGTCCTATTTTCTAAAAATTAATTAAACAGGGGCTGGCAGGCTGGCTTAGCAGTTAAGAGCCCTGGCTGCTCTTGCAGAGGACCTAGGTTCAGTTCCCAGCACCCACAGGTGGGTAATAAATCAGAAACTACAGTTCCATTTCAGGGGATCTGACACCCTCTTCTGGCCTCCATGGGCACTGCATGACACAGGTGCACTTACATACATGTAAGCAAACACTCATACACTTAAAATTAAAAAAAAAAAAAAAACCCTCCAAAATTATTTTTGTTTTGTGTGTATATGTATGCCACATGTGTGTTGGTGCCCATGGAGGCCAGAAGAGGGAGGGAATCCCATTCCCTGGAGTTGGCGTTATAGGCTGTTTTGTACTGCCCAACGTGGGTGCTGGGATCTGAATTCAGGTTCTCTGTAGGAGGACCAAGGTCTCTTAACTGCTGAACCATCGCTCTGGCCCTGTATTTATTTATTTTTTGGTTGAATTTTTATTTTCTCTCTGTGTCTGTATTATGTATGTGTGTGTACATGTGTGTACTGTCATGGCATGCGTGTGGAGGTCAGAGGACCTTCTACCATGTGGGTCCTGCAGTTTGAATGCAGACTTTCTGGCTTCCTTTATCCTTGAGCCACCTCACCGGCCCTATCGTCTGTTTTCTTGAGATGAAGGTCTTGCTATACAGCCTAGGCTGGCCTTGAGCTCAGCGGGGAACTCATGGCTCGGTCTTCTTGCCTCATTCTCCTGAATGTGGGGATTACAGGTGTGCTGCACCACACCAGTCATAACGAACACTATTTCTAATATTAAAACAAATTTCTCTGATGAAAAGCCTTTCTTATGTGTAGAAAGTCTTTAGTGGTTAAAAAAAATCTAGGTTCTGAATCAAGACTTTGATGACTATAAATAAAAGGAGGAAAAAGAAAAACTTGTCTTGTGCCAGGCAGTGTGTTTCAGGCTTTCCAGGTGAAATCCTACTTCATCCTCCTGCAGTCAGAAGCAGCTTTGCATTTCTAATACTGCTCATGTGGAGTTAAGGCTTGCTGAGGTTAAACCCAGTCAAGGGGCTGGTGAGATGGCTCAGTGGGTAAAGGAACTTGCTGCCAAGCCTGATGACCTGAGTTCAATCCCCAGGACTCACATGGTGGAAAGAGAAAACTGACTCCTGTAAGTTGTCCTCTGACTGCTATGGGCACCATGGCACATGCTCAGTCCCCTTACCCCAATAAATAAGTAAACAAAAAAAATTAGCTGGGCATGGTGGCACACCCCTTTAGTCCCAGCACTTAGGAGACAGAGACAGGAGGATCTCTGTGAGTTCAAAGCCAGCCTGGTTTACATAGTGAGCTCCAGGCCAGCTGGGGAGACCCTGTCTCAAAAAGACCAAAAAACAAAACAAAACAAAACAAAACAAAACAAAAAAACCCCAAAAACACAGTCACATCAAGAATAAGTGCTACTTAGGCATTTCTCCCTCCCCATTTTCCTTGTGTGATTGTCTTTAAAACATCATCAGTAAACAGGAGAGTCCCTGTTTAGCACTGAAATTTATTTCTGACATGAAATTATCACTGAGTGCTAAGGCCACAGTCAGGTATTTTCTCTGTCTTCTAGTTAGGTCAGGATTCATCCTGGTATTCAGCAGAGACTGGTCAGAAGAAAGTAAGAACGTCATCCATGTATCCAGCTATTTAGACTCCACCCACGTCTATCTTATGAATACATTTTCCCAAATAATGTGTAAGTAGAAGTTACAATTTTTATTATGTGATAAAAAATTATCCTATATAAAACTCTCTTAATTATTTTAAATTAAAAATATATTTTTAAATTTTAAAATATGTTAAAAGATTTATTTTTAATTTTAATTATGTGCCATGTGTGTGCTTATGTGTGTGGGTATGTGCATGTGTGAGTCCAGAAGAGGGAGTCCAATCCCTTGGAACTGGAGCTACAGGCAATTAGCTGCTAGATGTGGATGTTGGGAACCAAACTCTGATCCTCTGCAAGAACAGTATGTGTTCTTAACTGCAGAGTCATCTTTCTAGGCCCTGTTGCTTTAAAAAAAAATTGAAAATGGTTCAAATCAGCTTCAAGTTTTTGGGGGCCATTGTTATCAGCACCTTGTTGAAAGGTCTTGGCTGTATAAGTGTTTGTGGCCCAGACAAGAATATGGAACAGGACAAGCAGGTGCAGTGTGCACTGTGTTTGGGAAAGGCCTCAGGAGTGGCCTGGGAGAAAGCAACCACTGACTCTGAGGTTGTTCACCAAGTCCCTGCAACCCACCAGGGGAAACAGCATTAACATCAAAGGTCAGACTCCTGATCTAATACACATACACATACACATAATCAAAGGAACAGGAGGTTGTGGCCTGATTTGGGGAGGACAGAGATGATCAAGGGAGGCTCCCACTAGGTCTGAGGACAAGGAGACCGAGTCCTGACCCTTTGATGTAGCACGTCTGTGGAAACACATACCCAACCCAGTCTGAGGTGGGACCAGAGCTGGGAGCAGGAGACATGGAGAAGGGGAAAGGCAAGTCCCAGGGAAGGGCTCCAGGAGACCGAGGGCTGCTGGGGCACACCTGACACAGACGAACCTGGAGACCAGCAAGCTTCTATCCCCAAGATGACTCATTATGTATATGAAAATATCCCAGAATCTAAAAGATTTGAAATCTGAAACACTCTGGGCCTAAGCACTTCAGATGAGGGATGCTTGCCATATAGTAACAAGATAAAATCTGGTACTGAGGTCAAGAGGGTCAGATGCAAACCGTGGCCTTGATGCTTAGCAGCTGCATGGCCTTGACAAAGGCAGCTTGCCTCTCAAGCCTCCGCTGCCTTAGCGTTACACCAAGGATAATAAGAGAGTCCGCTGTGGGCCACACTTAGTGACAGTTAACCTAACAATCATCACACCAAGCACCACACATGGCACACAGTAAAAAGCTCCCACATCCTGGAGATGGGTGTGTGGTGGCAGCTCTGGCAACCATATCACTGAGACTGGGCTGTAGTGGGAGACCCAGGCAGGGTTGCAGGTTTTTTAAGATGCTTTTTTGGGTGTGTCATAAGGAGCCCAGCAACAGTAGTACATCAGGTCAATCTAAGGGTGGGTCCCATGCAACCACCCAGAAAAACAGGCCATTTTGGTGCATAAAGAGAAGATACATTCTTAACTTACAGTTGTAACACAAAAGCAGGCCAGCTTCTCCGTCTTCGTATACATCAATAGCTGCAACGAAATTAACCTGCAATGGGAATGGGCAGCAGGTAGTGATGGAGACACTAGAGACTTGAAGCTGTGTGTGTCTGGCAGTGACCCTCAGCCCTGGACACAGGGTGCTGCAAGCCCATTTCTGCTTCACCAGCACCCACAGTGCCATGCAGGCCCAGGGTTACAATCAACTGCAGGCATGAAAGAAACATCTTTGCTTTCTCTCCATTGTGGGGATTTTCACCCCATTTTCCTGCTCTTCTGGAAGCTCTGTACCCAGCACTGTGCTCCTCCTTCCTAAATATTCTGGTTTGTCACGTGGTCACTCATCCTCTCAACCACCCCTGCAAAGTGCATAGTGTCCTATCTTACACACGATGAAAGTGAGGCTCCCTGAGAAGACTGGAGCCCCTCAGCTGGGAAGCACCACTGCCCAGATCTGGCTCTTTTCCTGTCATACACTCCTGAACCCTCAGCGAGGTTTCTCCTGCCTCTGACACATGATGGGGATCTCTGGACTGTCACGTCTGCATGTCTCCAATTCTATTCTGTCTACTTTCCCCTTCCAGGGAGGCAGAATAGCCAGTTGAAAGATCTTGTTCTGTGATCCGGGACAAAATTGTCTCTGGGCCTCAGTGTCCACATTTGAGAAGACGCTGTTCAACCTGGGTGGTAGCCATCCCTTGTGCAGATTAGAAACTCTGTCCCTTTGAGGGCCTTTTGTTAGCAGAGCTATCGTTGACATCTCCAGGGTGCCTCACCTCCTCTTCCGGATCCAGGTCCTCCTCCTTGCAGGGTCTCAGATGTGTTTCTGTGGCACTGTTGTTACCTCAGCTAAGCCTGGCTTCCTCAAACACCAGGTATCCTGCTGGCTGGTCTCTCTCTAGTCCCTTACTGACTGCCTAGCTCTGGTTTCACCGCACATTGCCCCCTCAGACCCTGTACCCAACCCAGCTTGGCAATGTTGTCACCAAAACTCGGCTCGTGTCTTAGAAGACCCCGCTGGTTGCTGTCTGGGCTCTGATTGCCCTGACCAGCTTTCTCAGGGCCACATGGGGTGCATTAAAGATATGGACATGAACAAGGTATATGGAATCCCTCAAGGAAAAGTCATAAAAGTACGTAAAACAAGGTAAAAGTGGCAAATGCTATAAGGAAGAGAGGAAGGAGGGGCTTTAGAAGGAGAGGGAGACAGTGGGACGAGCAACCAAGAGCTCTTACTTGAGTTGGAAAGAGTGGGGAAGACTCCATGTACCCTCCACTCCTCTGCCTCTTACCCTCTACTGTAAGTGCTCTGCATGGCCTGTAGAGAGCCATGTGTACTAATGTGTCTTTATCCTATGTGCCTCCTTAGACTGTGGGCCTTGGGAGTCAGAGGCCTTCACTGCTTGCCAGTGCCAGCTGATGCATTATTTAGACATGCAGAATATGTGAGGGAGCGGTCCTTATGTCCCCTCTGACCTCTGAGGGAATCTGGTTGGTTCCTTTGATTGAGACACATTTCCTGCTCAGATACCTACTTCCAGTACCTGGCAGGCTTATTACTCTCTCAGCTAGAGGCTTTAAGCTGCAGTGATGCACTGCTTAGTCAGCCCATGAGCTTCTGGAGAGGAATCCATGTGTTACCAGCTGTGAAGCTTGGATCTGGATTCTCACGATGTTGGCTGTGGAGGTGACAAGCACTTTGGGTTCAAGGACACTGTCTTTAGAGTCTGGCTGGCTTTAAGTACTACCTCTGCCACCCACTAGCTGTGGACTTCGGAGTAAATAAGTGGCTACTTTCTGAGCCTCAGTTTCCCTTTATGTAAGTGTGGAAAAATAAACACTTTCCTCACAGATTGTTGGGAAGATGTGAGACATGCTATGATACCCTCTGACATAGATGCGGAATATGCATGTATGGAGAAGTGGTCATTCAGTGGTGGCAGTGATTATTAGCATCATGGAAGCTTAACTGCAGTCAGGAAGGTGGCCCTAGATAAAGCCTGTGTGTGTCTAGGGTGAGTGGGGAGGGAGAAGCCATGGTAATCAGAGTGGGGAAGTGCAGATAGGTTTCCAGACTGAGGTCTGCACACAGGGGCACCAGGCTCAAGGGCAGCCAGCCCCAGGCAGGTCTAGGTTTTAGGACAGTGCTGACAGTAACAGATTCAGGCTGGGCAGACTAGGTGGCTCCAGCTCAGGGTAGGATTCAGGGACTGAAGATCATAACTTGGACATGGGTACGTCCTTGGCACTCCATGCTACTGTGTATGTATGTGTGTGCGCGCATGTGCGCAAGTGCCCAAGAAGGACCGGATATGGTATCAGATCTCCTGGAGCTGAAGTTACAGGCAGTTAGCTGCCTGACATGGGTGCTAGGAACTAAATTTGAGCCTTAACCATCTCTCTAGCCCTTGTTGAGGTCTTTGCTAGCACTTAGCACAGTAAGACACTTCATGCCTTGACACAGGCCTGTCTCCTCCCTGTACCTTTGGCAAGGCTTCTGTCCCAACACATGGGGGTCTCTGAAATGTCACGTAGCTCAGTATGTCTCCAACCTCTATTCTGTCTTTCCCATCAAGGGAGGCAGCATGAGGCAGTAGAAAGCCCTTCGTAGCCCTGCTTCTAAGGCTGGTGAGGATGTCAGAATCCACTAGATGATCTTTAGCTCTCACTCCTCCAGATTCTAATATAGGAGGTCTGAAGGAGGTTATAATGTTGGAGTTTTATTTTTTATTCAATTAAAAATAAGCAATACTTTCCTTGGCATTTGAAAATAAAAGTACCATATGGTGGTTGGAAAAGAATCTGAATCCCATGTCCTCAACCTCAGCTGGAGGAGGCAGCTACTGCAGGCTGGGTGGTCAGCATTCCCATGTGGTTCCAGGTAAGTGTCCAGCTAAGAACTGCTAAATTCTGGGTAGATGCTCAAGACAGATGCTGGGATCAGTGGATAACTCACAGTCCTATATCTAGTTACCATGTCTGTAGTTCTTCCCAAGGAGATCTGGTTCTGGGAATGAGGCCAGTATTGGCCTCTAGAGCTGGGGCAGTAGATCACTGCAGGCCTGTTGGTCCAATGAACTTGATGTAGACTTTCAAATCCTGCTTTTGCACTTCTTAAACCTTTCCTCTTTTGAGCTGAGATTGTCTCAGAACCCAAGGGAGAAAAAGGCTGAATGGGAATTGAGTGGCAGCTGAGAAGGGAGGGAGGGAGAAGCAGGGGTGGGTCCAACCAGTGCTGGTGCCTTGCACTGAGCCACAGACAGTGTGTGGCTCCCTGTCCTGGGGACTGAGCTGCAGAAGGCCATGCCTGCTCCCAGTGGGCCGGATTCTGACCAGTGATCAGTGGCCACATTGCTCATTACATTTTCCACATCTCCAGTTAGATGGTCAGTTCCTTGTAAAAATGTGTAACTGTGTCTGCACTAGCATGCACGCCTGTTCTGTGAGTGTCCATAGAGGCAGAATTATCACAGGAGGGCTGCACACCCTCATCTTCTCCAGTCAGGCCAGGGAAAAGCTAGTTTTCTTTTTAAAAATATTTTATTTATTATTTTTATTTTACGTGTATGAGTGTATTGCCTGCATGTAGGTAAGTGTACCTGTGTTGTACAATGCCCTCAGAGGAAGGAAGAGGCCATCGGGTCGGGTGCTGGATTTGAACCTTGGTCTTCTACAAGGACAACCAGTGTCCCTAACCACTGAGCCATCTCTCCAGCCCCTTATTTTCTTTTTATAATTTTTTTCTTCTTTGGGAAAAACTTCATATTTTTTTATTATTTTTTATCTGTATGAGTATATTGCCTGCATGTATATAAGTGCACCCATGCCTATGGAGTATACCAGAAGAGGGTGCCGGATCTCCTGGAATTGGAGTTATAGACAGTTGTAGCTGCCATGTGGGTGCTGGGAGCTAAACCCAGATCCTCTGCAAGAGCAGCCAGTGCTCTTAACTGCTGAGTCACCTCTCCAGCCTCATATTTTTGGTTTTTAAAAAGCCCATTAAAGATGAAAAGAGACAGAGACTGGGGAGGACTGGGGGCAGAACAGTGTCTTCTGGACGACGTCATAGGGCCATTGTACTCATGAACTCAGAGCAGCTGTGGTTGCCTGAACAAGACCCACACAAGCTCAAGAGAATCAACACTGCAGCATGCAGTGGGGAGGGGCTCACCAGCCCCCACGCTAGCTGAGGCACTATGGACAGTTGATGGCTGGTAGGGGGGTGTGGCCCCATGGATAAGGCTCCAGTGGGTGGTACCATGCCAATGTATATATAGGCAGCAGAAATTGGACTCAGTGGGTTATTAAAAAAAAAGGACACAGGCCGGGTGTGGTGGCGCACGCCTTTAATTCCAGCACTCGAGAGGCAGAGACAGGCGGATCTCTGTGAGTTCACGGCCAGCCTGGTCTACATAGTGAGTTCCAGGGCAGCTGGGGCTACAGGGAGACCCTGTCTCAA